CACTGCCCCCTTGTGGCATTTGGCTACAGTGACCATTGTTCCTCAAAGCTTAAGAGTCAGTCTGACCATCCCATCCCACCCCATCCATCTATCCTCCAGCCAGCCAGCCAGCCAGCCAGTCAGCCATTTTTCCTCTTTTCATTCAAAAACACTGATAGGCACTCTGCCAGTTGTTGGGGATTCCATAGCAAATTAAATGTCCCTGTCCTAAAGGAAACCTCATAAGATATAGATATGGAAACTACTGAGTAAATAGTCCAGAGATATTGGACCACTATTGTGGCAGAGAGGTGAGGACAGTAGCTGGCTCTCCTGCAGGACTCAAGCAGAATGCACGGAGATGCTGGTTGGTCATTCAACAGACAAGCACTGAGTGACATGCAGAAATGAATAGGGGTGGGGGCAGGGCAAGCACAAACACAGGCAGTGAATGAACATGGCTGGGAAGGAAGGAGAAGTCATGGGAGAGCCGAGGAAGAAGGGACACGTTCTCCACCCGTAGTTCTGCCTCCCTTGTCCAGACCCTTGGGACTCCTGACAGGCACATTCAGCTGGGGGTGTGGGGAAAGGGCCTCTCTGAGACATTGCCCTTAATCTGCCTCCTGTACTTTTCTAAAGGAGAACCCCATTAGAGCAGTTCCTCAACTCTCTCCTCTAAGGTAGGGTTTCATCGGGATCAAGACCAAAACCCAATGCTTGAAGAAAATTGCTTGTGTCCTTTCATCCCAGGTTTCGTGGCTGAATTCATCTTTGAGGCACTTTAACAGGCGTCTGTTTCTTCAGAGGGAAAACCAGAGTTAAGAACTCAGAGGAGAGGATGTGACAAATCAGAGCCAACCGCTCTGTTGTTTTAGGGGAAAGTGTCTCCGCCTTGGCCTGGTACATCTCAGAGGAGCGTGTTAGCTCTTCATATCAGAGTTAGGGGGAGAAAGAATCCTGGGTCCACATCTGGGGAGCAACAATGACCTGAAGGGGCAGAGTCACAAGGAGAAGGGGAGACCAGGTGGTTCTGGGAGCTTCCGTCTGAACTCAGAGGCGTTAAGGGACACTCACATAGGAGGCCAGGCTCCTGCTGCTGGTGGGGACTCGGAATGGCAGGTCTTGGTGTTTTAAGGATGAAAGTGCCCTGGAAAGGGGACCTCAAGACATGGATCATATGCCTATTTCATTCCTGTGTGCGCATACACACACACACACACACACACACACACACACACCACACACACTATAGACATGCTGCTGGGGGATATATACATACTTGATGGCTGTCTTTTTGAACCCCATTCTGTGACTGGGAAATTTCCCACATTATGAGTCCTGCCTCCCCAAGGTCACAGACTGACACTGGCTTTCCCAGCTTCCTCGCAACAAGGTCTGTAACCTAGGCTTAGCCAATCGGATACCCATGGCAGACTTGGCTCCCAGAGGAGGACATGAGCATGGGAAGGCACAGGCCTGTTTGGGGGCAAGGGTTGAGGGCACAGCTGTGGAGTATCTGGCATCCAGTGGCCAGCACCAACGGTGCAAGCCATGCTAGGCATCTGTGCGCTAAGGCAGTGACAGTGGGCACCCCTCAGGAGCACCCCCACCCCCATGCTCCTGACTGGGGAGTCTCCAAGACCAGTTCTCTGGCCCTCCCTCTGAGGTCCCATGAGGCACACAATGCCCACTTCTGTTTAACCCAGTAGAGTGGGTTTGTGCGTGAATGTCGCTCCTCCTGTGTGAACATTTTGCTCAGCTTCAGAGCCCTCCAGCGAGGCCTTATCAGAGTCCCAACCTCCTGGAAAAGAAGCAGCTTTCACTGAGCATTTTCTGAGGGCAGGTGCTATGATCATTCCTTCCAGAGCCAATGCAGGAACCAGGCTATCCGGCCTGGCTAACCTTCTCCTAGTTTCCTTTCCCTCTCCCCAAACTGCGTTGCAAAACCAGCCACTTCTGCCAACCACTCCACCCCCTTCTCCTCCCTGTCCTCTCTGGCAATTCCTGCAGGTCCTCACAACTGCCAACAAAACGTTTTCCCAGGCCCAGCATCACCGGGCACTGAAGAGGGGCCCTGAGTGAGAGTGTATGTGAAAGGTGGGCGTGGGGACTACCGTACTGAGGACATGGGGGCCGGCCTGCTGCTAGCTGAGCTGAGCCTCAGCCTGACCAGAAATTAAGAAATAGTAACTCCCAGTGGAAGTTATGGACACCACCTTCTCTTTTCTCACAGCTTGCATTGTAGGGATCCATATGTATTTATGCATGGAACAGTGTTGTTCTTTCTTTCTTCTTGGGGTGGGAGGGTGAGATATTCTGAATTTAGCTTTTTCTAACTCCTTAAAAATAGTAGGTAGCATTTACTGACCCTCAGAATGTGACAAGCACCATGTGCATTGACTCATGTAAATCTCACAACCGTCCTGCGTAGGAGATGAGCAGTACTACAGCATCTTCATTTCACAGGTGAGAAAATTAGGACTGGAGAATACAGTTGTTAGAGTCTTTGACTACATGGAATAGGAACTCAACTCAAATATGTACCAAAAAAAAAAAGGAAAGAGAAGGAAAAGAAGATGATGAAGGAAGGAAGCAAGGAAGGAGGGAGGGAGGGATGTGCGTATGGCTCAGGGAAAGTCCAGTAGGTGATCTGGCTGTAGGCTCACCAGGACCCAAGCACCCAAACACCTTGTCCGGGCATCTGAGTTTGCCTCCTGACTCCTTTTCCTGATTGGCTTTGTTTCCCCGCCAGTCCCCTGATGGGAACAGAGAGGCTGCAGCCGCTTTTGCCTACTTCCTGCCAACTTGGCAAAATCTTTTCTAACACTTCAGGCAGAATGCCCAAGGATGGCTCTCATTAGCTGGGTTGTGGTCACATGTCCACCTCTGGCCTGGACTGAGACTGAGGGAGCGGAGGTTCCAGGAGAAAAGTGTCAGAGTGCTGAGGCCAAAGACGGGGGAAGGGATTCTGGGTAGGCTAAAACAACAGGGCGGGGCACAGCAGGGCATTAAGTGACACAGAAAGTGGACATGCCAATTCAAAGCCAGATGTGACTTTGGTACCTGCTATGATTTCATCTGAAGTCCAATGGCCCAGGAGATCTGGGCTCTAGCTCTGGTTTTGTCACTAACTAGCTGGGACCTTACAGATTTAACCACCTAGAGCTCATTTTTCCCATTTGCCAAACAGAAATAATAATTTCTATACAATCTTCCTTATTGAATTGTTGTAGAAGTCAAAATAGACTTTGAATTAAGAAACAATTTGAAGTTAAACAGAAGGTATTATATTATTCCTATGTATACCTTCCATTGGTTTGCTGAAATTAGCTTAAAATTCTCTGTATTTTCCTCATTCCTTTTCTTATTTTCCTTTTAAAAATTCATTTAAAAAGCAATATGTACTGGGACTCTCCTGTCCCCTCCTAGCGTGAGCCAGGAGCTCTGTCCTTTCACTTTATCTCTAAATAGAAGATTGTACCTTGCTCTCCTAAAAAAAAAAAAAGGAATATGTACTATAAGCAATTTAAAAGAAAAAAAAATAAGGGGAAAATTACCTATAATCCCACCACTCTTAAATAACTACTATTAACATTTTCATTTTATCTTTCTTGTCTCTTTTTCTGCATGAATGAGAATGGTTATGGTTTTTTGGTTTTTTAAAAATAAAAATGGGATATTATAAAACTTTTTTAAAAATCTGCTTTTTCCCATAAATCATGTTGCAAACATTTTATGTGGTATTAAACATTTTTCATTAACATCAATAATGGTCTTCCATTGTTCATCAAAACCTCTCTGATTAGACATTTGGTTTGCAGACATGGTGTCCATGGCTGTAAAACAGAAACTAGTCCTGCCCTGTCTGGCCTGCCTCACAGGCTATGAAAGTGAATGAGAAGTGGCTGTGAAAGTCCTTTCTCAGAAGCAAGCTCCCCTGCGACCCCAATGAAGGATGCTTCCTGGTCTCCGTTTCCTTGAATGTAATCCTCTCCCCTTGAATCTAGGCTTGTCCTGTGTCCTATTTTTAAGTAGTAGAAGGCAGTGGAAATGACACCTTGTGATTTCTGAAGCTATGCCACAAGACGGTCTGACTGAAACCGTAGGCTTGGGACTTTGTAGTTGCACAGTAATGGAGAAGCCAAACACCTGCCAGATTGTTTTTTAGTGCCTCGAATCTGGGAGCAAGTCTAAAGCTTAACAGTTAGAAGTTGTCTCTGGAACCAGACAACCTGGTCCTCAGTTTTTGCTACCACTGTCTCAGCAGCTATATAGTGTTGGGTAAATTATTTTATATTTATTTTATATATAACACTTATTTTAATAAGACTCTCTGAGCCTTATTAAACACATCAGTGAACTGGTCATGATGATAGTACCTGCCTTGTGGCACTGCCGAGAGGATCAGATGACTGCACATAAAGCCCTCAGCACAACATCTGGCACACAGTGCTTGATATATTTCAACTACAGTGGTGGTGATAATCCTTGGTGATAAAGTGCCTCACTTATTTGGCTTCCTTAATTAAATTTCCCAAAGAGTACACATCAAACTACCCTATATTTTTACTCTCCCCATTCCCTTGGTCACCATCACTTGACACCTTCCCGGGGCATTCAAAGGACTCTGAATACTTCCAGCCTTGGAGATGTAGTTTCGATTTAAAGTCCCAAGGCCAGACTGAAGGTATCCTAAGTGGGTTTCCAAAAACCAGTTTCCTTAAAGAAATATTTTACATACGTTGATGTCATTGACCAAATATTTACTTGATTTATGCGTAGATTCCTGAAGTCTGCTGTGCAGTCTCTTTTGCAACTGTGTTTGCTTAAAGGTCGAATCATACTTCCTGTTCCTCAGTGAATCTATGGGAAATTGTAAAGATAAGAGCCAGGTATTTCTTAAAGACAAATAGTTGAAATCATTGGTGCTAAAAGACTCTCATTCACTTGTTTGAAAAACAACTATATACTACCTACTCTGAGCCAGACCCTATTCTAGGCATGAGGGACAGGAAGGGAAGAGGACCCAACCTCTGACTTAAAGCTTATAGCCTCTTGGGCGCGGAGTGGATAAGTGGAGAGAGCAACCAGCAAGTGTAAATTTTCTATAATGCTGAGAGACAAGGGCTTTGAAGAGGGAGGCCTAAGGATCATGGAAGCTCACAGAAGAACATTCCCTGCCTTTTCTTTAACCAGGCTTCCTGGCCTGGTGAAGGAGCAAATGGGCATGAGATGGAGCAGGAGACTCCCACCCAGCAGCCATTCCCAATCCCCTTCTTCTCCGACAGCTAGGGGTGGCCATCAGCATCACACGGTGGGATGTGCTCCTCACTCTGTTTCCTTTGTTGGGCGATTGTCCTTCCAGCCACCTTGCAGAAGCACGACCAAGTTCTGCTCAACAGGAATGGGAACAGTGCGTCACTTCAGTTGGCACGGTTAGGAGCTGGTGCCTCTGCCCTCATCCCCCAGTGCAAAGAAGATTGGGGGCCTCATGATTTCATTGGTGGAACTACAAGGAGGGCCACAGACCACAAAAATTGTGAGGTGAGAAAAAAATAAACCTGTATTGTGTTAAGCTACTGAGATTTTGGGGCTTACTTGTTACTAAAGTCTAGCCTGGTCCACTCTACTACACTGTGTAACCCAGTTCTAGTCAATGAGTTGTAAGGGAAATATATTGTGGAGTTCCAGATGGGTATTTCCATTTCCAATCAATTTCCTTTCATTGATAAAAGGAAATAGGCAATAGGAGTGCTCATTCATTACCCTGACTAGCTGCCTGCTTCTTGGTTTTGAAAAAAAAGTCTCATTAGGTTGTGATGTTTGGAACTGCAGCAGCCATTCTGTGAGAATGAGTATGGGACTAAGAGAATTATAGAGATGACAGCCCAGAGCCTTAATATTCATGAAACTGCTGATCTAAACTGGGGTTAATTCCAGATTTCCTTTTTAACAAACAATAAAATGTCCTGATGGTGTCAGCCTTTTCTGTTACTGGTATCTTCCACTTTTCAAGAGTTTGAGTTATGCCACCTCGCTTTTATGAAAGACTACATTAACACCTGTTTTCACTAACTGAAAGAAATCCAAAGAGGATTTCTGCTTTTACAAGAAAAGGCAAAAAGCAGAAAGAGCATTCAGGGTTTGTTTTGCATGGCACCATTATAGAGGCATGGTGCACCCTGAGCAACAAGAGCTCCTTCCCTGGGCACTACTCTCAGTGACTCAGCATCAAGCTGCCACAGCTTTGAGCTGTGTCTGTGAGCAGTTGTGCTTTATCTTGATTTATGGTGTGCATCCATTAGCAAGATGTGTCCTGTCCTGTGGTATCAGAAAAGGCTAATAGAGGTTATTTTGGGGGTCTGGGAAGAATCAAAACCTTTCCCATGTACATTAATGGTAATTGCATCTTCACATTATGCCGTTTCAGCTTACAAAAGTTTTCATGGGAATGCTGTACTTTGGATAGCTGGGGAAATATGTGTGTGCATCTATACTGATACTAGTAGCAAATGAGGATTAGGCATGTGGTTCTAATGGATGAGAAAGATGAGTATAGGTTCTTGGGAATAGGCAAGGTCACTTACATCTCTTGTCTTCATCCCCACCCACACTATGATTGTTACTGAAAAATTCTGTAATGTGCTGCAATGTGCTTCTATGTGCTACATTTTCTGGCATTACGGTGATAGAAGAATGGCAGCACAATGTAAGAGGGAAGATCTCAGTCTTAGAGACAGGTAGATTCAGGTTCAAATACTGGCTCTGCCACTTTCTTTGCTGTTTGACCTTGCACAGATGACTTGAGCTCTCTAAACCAAAGCCTCCTTACCTGTGTAATGGAACAATCATAGAAACTCCTATGTAGTGTTACTGTGAGGATAAAATGACAAGACACGTATGACATCTTGGCATATTGCTTGGGACACCAAAAACACTTAATACACAGGATTCCCTAAAACAAGTTGGATTCGGATTTGGATGACATTCTAGGAAGAGAGCTGGAGCAGGCATTAACTGTTGTGGAGTGGAGGCTTAGGGAGTTTAAGTGACTTGCTCAAAGTCAGAACCAGATTTTCATCCCAGGTCTGGCGGTTCCCATTTCAGAGCTCTTTTCAGAGTAACACACTGCCCTGAAATTGCCAAAGAAAAAATATAATTTTGAAATGTTTTATTTTTTATCTCAAATAAACAGAATCATTTCCATAAACTTCTCTCTTTAAGAAGGAAATTACTACTATAGCATATGTGCAAATGTGAGAGATTGCTAAATTTTTTCTTAATTCTCTAGTATAAGCTTCTGCCATTTACCTCCTCTGCCTTACAAAAATCAGTTGAAAATGCACACCTTCATAATCTATGCAAGGTAGCTTAGGTGTATAGTTCTGCAATATCTGTGAGTCAAACTGCAAAGCTGACTTTTTCCTAAGTCTTTTTCTTCTCCTTCATGAAAACCTTTAGCTTATTATCTCCTCTGATGTTTTAGCATTCAAAACAGTCTGCTTTCTGTATCTTTGCAGCCACATGTCTCTCCACATCAAGTCACTAGGCTGTGGAGGAACACCTTTCGCTGTATCAGAATCTGGATGCATGCTACTGCCTTTCCTCTACACCCTCATCCTTTGTCATCTGAAAGTGCCTGATAAAACATAGGCTGTTTTCTTTAAGCTCTGCTAATTGATTCACTTTCAACGTAAGTCCAGGAAAAGACACTATTAAAGCCTGATTCTTTGTTTTCTTAAACCTAGCTTGGTCATTGCCTCCTTCAGAAAGCCTCTCCTCTCTCAACCGTGGAGTGACTTCAGACGGGGCATTTCCCTCACCGTACTGCCACTGATCTACGCCGATGTCCTCCTTGCTTTGGCTCTGTCAGAGGTGGGTTCTGCTGCACCCTAGCCTCCACTTCTAGTGCCTTGCACAGCACCTTGCCTGTTTCATGAAATCAGTGCCTCGGACAACCCCTGAAATGGGTGAGATTTCATACCTGTTAAAACTAGTGCAAGATGTGCTGGGTCTGGGGTTCAATTAATATAGTGAGTCCGGCAGGCAAGAAAGTGGTTATTATCAGATACCAACTCATTCTCTTCAGTACATGCCATTCCTTCTGTCTCTGGTTGCTTAGTTTGGGTGACACTGCAGTAATTTGATTCTTCTGAGTGCTGTCCACTTCTGGACCACAGGATGCTCCCAGGGCTCAGTCTTCTTTTTCCCTTTCCTCATCATCTCTCCAGATTCTGTGTAAACCCCTAGTCTGGTCCTGACCCCGCCTTTTTTTTTGGTGCCTCCACTAGATTGCCTGGATGTCTGCTCGTATTTCCCACTCAACCATCCAAAGCCAAAATAGATTGAACTAGACAGCACAGCACAGAGGATAAGGAAAAATAGAGACTCAGGCCAGCGAAGCACTGGATTTGCCTTAGGAAGACAGAGCACTGGGGACCTTGGAAAGAGTAATTTGCTGGAATCATGACACCTAAGCCAAAATGGTAGGGGCCCTCACAACACTGCCTTTGGGAGCCTGGGCCTCCCTAGCTCTTCTGCAAACCCACTGTGTGACCTTGTGTAAGTCACTCCCCTTTCTGGGACTCTTTTTCATCAGAAAGTCAAGGTTGGACTGAAGGAGTGGTTCTCAATCTTCAGTAAAACTCTAGAATAGGCTGGAGTTTGTCAGTAACACTCACCACTCCCCGCCCCCGGACATTCTGATTGAGATTTGGGAAGGAGCCCAGGGAATCAACATTTTCAACACACTCCAAGGGTCGAGTGATTTCCTGGACCAAAAAGGTTGGAGCAGATGATCACAGAATTCCCTTCCAGCCTGACATTCCCTCATTTGCTGGGTTTGGGATGCAGAGGGTAGCAAGCAAAGACTGCCAGCCAGCTAGTTCTGTTCAGAAAGTGTAGCCACGAAGATGGCAGATGGAAGGGAATGGTCAGGGAGGGGCATATTCAGTGTCCCTTGGGCAGTGCTTGTTTGGTTGAACTGGACTTGGGAGACCTCAGTCCTAAGGAGGCAGGACAGCCAGCCTGTCTTAGCTTCCTGACCATTTCAGACTGAGCTAACTCCTGCGCCTTTTGTCCCATTCTGATGCTCTAAACAAAGGTTACAAACTGCAAATGTTGTTTGGCCCACTCAGGGCTAAATTTTAAAAATTCGTCCCCAATTTAAAAATTGGAAGATTTCACATTTAAATACTTGATTTCTCTTGGAAAGTCTGGAAGATCAGCTGGTCTCATACACCTAAGACAGTGGCTGGAGCTGAGCAGCTGCACCCCCTTTGGGTGAAGGCACCATTTTCCAGCCTCCACCATCTCCAGCTGCTGTGTGCCTCATTCACAAGACCTCCAAGTCCTGTCAGAGGGGGCTTTTGAGTTGACTCCCAATTTTAAAATTTGTTGTGGGGTAAGCCAGAGGCTACTTGTGAAAGAGCATCCACACGTGACGTTTTTTTCCCCCTACCCGGAACACTTAAGAAATTGGAAGAGTGGAACTCACTGCTGTTTAAAGCCAGGTTGTTGAGGCTGTGGACCTCTACCTACACGGCTTCTTTCCTGTGAAGGTACCCCTGGAGAAATCTTTCTAGTCTCAGTCCCAGGGTTGCTGTCATGGTCTTTCTCTTGAAAATGAGCTGTATGTTTAAGTCGTGTGAATGGTGTACAGTTTCTCTGGGCTTGGTACTGGGATCAGGACTCCTCTCAGCACACCATGGCCTACCAGGCGGTCTACCCTTATGAGTGGCTACAGTTTGCTTTTTAGTCTTGTTTTTTTATTATTGCTTTTTCAATTTATCCTAGGATAAGATTTCTATCTTTGATGAGTCAGACCTTCAATCTTTATAGAATAAGGCAGGGTTTAAATAAACTCTATCCTATATATACCTTGGTTATAGCACTTCTTACCATGTATTTACTATTCTGTGTAAATGTTGGTTTCTTTTACTAGATGATGAAGATGGGGCTGCATTTTATTATCACTGTGTCACTAATACCTGGCCCAGAGCCTTGCACATAGTTGGCATTTAATAAATGTCTGGAGAATTAAATGAAAGATATTGGAGAACTGGCATAGCAGGGATTTGTGGAACAGGTAGAGGGTTCGCCAAGGTAGAAATTCTCAGGCCAGAGAGATAGAAGAAGCCAGATGGTGTGTTCTGTCATTTTCTCTTTAACTTAAGAACATCTCATTATTCTGTTTATGAGATAACTTATGTCTACTAAGTTTAGAGAATTCAAAAAGGTGTTCTGGCATGGTAGAGAGATGGGTTTTGGAGTTGACTCAGAGTTTGAGACTCAAGAATATCTTTTTTCTTTCTAAGTGGTTGTGGGGGTTTTCTACACCTTTCACATAGTTTTTGGCACCAATATATATCCTTAACTACCTTAGTACTGTACACTGTAGTTTAAACTGCAACTCTTAGGCACTGCTCTCAGGCTAGAATCTTAGAATAACTAGCTATATAAACTAAACACATTAAATAATTTTATTATTTTCTCCTTCATATTACTAACAGTAGCACAGTATTAAGTATTTTTAAAAAACATGAACAAGAAATTTTTTGGGTTTACACACATGTAAAATATACACTCAGATAAAGCAAACACCTGCTCATTACATTGCTCAACTTTAAGTAAGAGTGCCAAAAATAAGTAAATAAAATGCCTGCAGATATAATGAAAAGGCTAGATGGTTTTGTTAAAATTCATTTTAACAGTTTGAGCAGAACAACATGTGCTAATGAAATTCAAGTTAAAGTTATAGTCAGTTAATAAAAGAGAAAACATCCTTTGGGGCTACTTAGAAGTATTCCTTAAGCAGAATCTGCTTTGTGCTTTGAACATAGCTAGGTTTACACTTTCAACAGTAAGCAGCAATAAAGAGTAAGAAAATTCTCAAATTTCCTAGGAACCGCTCTACAACATCAAGGAAAAACACATAGACAATATCACCATCCTTTTTTAACAATGGACACTAAAATCACAATTGTAGGCTTACTATTTGGATATAAAATGCTAATACAGACCCTTGGGTAATTACCTTTGATTTTTAAAAACCCATGAAACAGAAGATATCTGCTTGCTGGTGCAACAGATTTAACCCACAAGCAATAAGCTGAACTATGTTTTCTCCATCATGTACTTTCACAGTGCAAAATGTCAGTCATCTCACAGATGCTGCTCTCCACATTCTGTCACTTAAGCCTGAAGATGAAGCATCTCAGGGAAGCCTTATTGTAGAGCAGCCTATGACTGACTCCAATGCCAGAGTCTCAAAGGTAGATAGGCAGTTTCTTACGTAAGAGGTAAAATAAGTAATTCAAAATGTCCATAAGCTAACATAAGATACAGTATTGAATTTTTTGGCACAGAAACAAAGAATAACTACATTGCTACTTTGAACAGTATTCGACATGGAGGAGTAGGTTTCGGTGTTCAGTGGCTGGATACTGTATATTGCACTTGGGACATTCCACCAGGCTTTCATTCAGTACCACAACGGGGCTTTTCGGTAAGGCGACTTTCCCTTTGCTTTCAGCCTCTCCTTGGACAGCCACAAGTGGCTCTGTGAAGGCAAGCTCACGAAACTGCTTCTGAAAAATAAATGTCAAATGAACAAGGTTTGTATATAAAGCCTACTGTTCAACAGTTGTAACTGCTCCACAGATACTCCAGCTGCTTCGGCCCTGCAGATGGCTTTTCTTTCGAATCTCTGCTTATTGGTATTATGCTGGTAAATATGAGGTGGTTATAAAGTACTCAGAAGTACTAGGGTTGGGTGTTCATATGGAAAAAATGTATTAAAATGTAAAGGTAGGACTGACTATGTGCAAGGCTAACAAAATCTGCTAGTTCTGCAAGACGGGCAACTTCAGCAATAAAAAACTACATGGAATTAATAGCAGCAAAGAATTTTAGCAGTTCAAATAGATTATACACAGAAATGACTAAGATACTGTATACCTTTGTGACTTTAATTTTTCTTGTTTTTTTTTCCGAGGAACTTAAGAGTTAGTAAAGCTTAAGAATGAGTATTTTATAGCATCCTATGATGATGATGGGCAACAGGAACACAAAAGAAGTACAGGAAAATTATGGATTCTTTCATATAACCTCTGATTTCCTATACTTTGAAAAACAGTCACTAACAAAAATGCATTATGTAAAGTGCAAATTTTATAAATGATCAAAAATCAAAAGCATACTAAAGAACAGAGTCAAAAATGTATTTTGTTTTTTATTCATAAAGAATTTACAAATGATTTTTTTTAACAATTGCTTTTTTCTTTTGAAAACTGAGGAATTCCATTTGTAACATTGCACCACTGGCAAATATTCTGCAGTACTAGCACAATACATAAAATATGTGCCAATGGAATGTGCACACACAGCACAGACCCTAACAGGTTTGGTCCAAAAGTTTATTAGTAACACGAAAATAGGTAAGTCAAAAACCATTTTCTTATAGAAACAGTATTATTTAAAAGGTTTATGTTTAAAAGATTATGTGTTCCTGTTAAACCACAAAATGTGCTTAGCTCAATATGCCTACAAGTGTATTAGTGGTAATAGTCCATTATCCCTAACAACAGCACTTCTTTCTTCCTTTCTAAATCAAAAAACATAATTTCAGTTCAGGATTTACAACTGCCCTCGCTTACACTCTCCTCCCCCAGGGCTGGACACTGATGAGTGCCTCTAGGACAGCACCCACTGTGGGTGGGCTGGGGGTGAGTTGGGGAGGGGTGAGCCCATGCACTGGTGATACAATCACTACCAGGAGACACATGTCCCCATTCTAGTGCTATGAAGTGATGATCAAAGGGCAATTGCTTCAAATGAGACACTGCCTATTGATTCGAGAACCAGCAGTTCTTTAAGCTGCATTCTTCTAGCGTGGGAACTGGTTTGACATATAAATGGAAAGATAGCAGGAGAAAGAAGAAAATAAGTTTTAGGCTAACCATTCTAGACTCACCAAGGATTCCAACTGTGTTATCTGACTCCTTGCTTTTCGGAGCTCCTTAAGAATTACATGTAATTGTTGCTGCATATTTTGACGGTCAAGTTTTTCATTTTCAAAGTCTAAAGTACATGCCTGCATCTGCAAAAAAATGCCCAGGACAAGATAATTACAGGTCTGAGTCTCTTGACTGAATGTCTGCATTTTTTATTAGCACGAGAGGCAAACATTTGTTGTATCATCAGAACAAGAATTCATCTGAGCAAGTGAGATGTTGATAAATGAAGCTTATGGTTGATGATACTGTTTATCCAAAGAGCAAAGCTATAGGTGAGTGAGGAGCAGCTTAAGAAGTTGCTAGTTGGAATCTGTCCTCTGCATTCCCCTTTATATGGGGAAGTAGGAGAAGAGAAAGAGATGACTGTTTTTTAGTGTTTGGAATACACTAAAAGGCTCTGGTCTATATTCTGAAAACAAATGGTGTCTCTTTGAGTTCTACTTGAGGTTATAAGGTAGCCGTTAGGCCACCGTAGGAACTAAGAAACCATTTGGGGAAGAATAAAATTTGTCAAAGCAAACATCTATCTACCTGTCAAGAAAACTGCCATCTCACCTCAGAGGATCCAATATTAAGCTACAGACAGTAACAGGAATATATGGTTAGCACAAATAGTCACTTTAAATATTTTTTGTTAAAGCTTTTTAGGAACATTTTTTGCAACTTAGTTAATTGTTTTTCATAGAAAAGTGTGAACATGTGGAAAATTCCATTTTCTAATGGGTTAAACTGAATTTAGGAGCAACCCCAGTGAGTACCTGCTGTTCCAACAGGGCTACCTTTGTTTGTTCTTCTTGCTGCTTTAGCAGAGACGTGTAAAGAAACTGGACCTGTACGAGGTAAACAGAGCCACCAGGTCACATCTCTTATCACTTCACCTGGAATGCACGAGGCTCTCAAGTCTCACATCTCCACCTGGAACACCACCTGCTAATCGTTGAGTCATTCTAGCTGGTTTGTTTGATGGCTGCCTATGTAAGCAGCTGAGCAATGCCACCTGGGCTGGGCATTTCCCGAGGCACAGGCTGAGAGCTCATAAACAGCACTGACCTCTGCAGTGAACATGCCCACTTTTCTGGAAGTCCTGACATCTAATGTTTCCCAGTAGGACAACACAGGTGGCAGGGCCTTGCCTCCTTGGTACAGAGTTGGAGCAAAATTCTTAATCATTTTTGCTTAATCTTTTGTAAGTATCACTGCACACACCAGCAGGCAGAAGTGAGGGTGGTAAAGACTAAGAGGGCAAATATTACAGACCATTTTTCCCCTCTCTCAACCTTTGGAAGATATAAAATTACTATTCTAACAGTAGCAACAACTAACATTTACCTAGCCCTTTCAGTTACAAAGCACTTTTACATCCTCTCAGCTGACCTTCACAGAAGTCCTATGAGGCAAGAAGATATTATTATTATTAATGTGACACACAAATGACCTGCAAGTCAGAGAAGTTTAGCTGAGTTTCCTAAGGTCATACACGTCCTGAACTAGAGACCAAGTATTGACCTCAAGTAATGTTTCCTCCATTATTCCATGCTGTCAAGCAAAACTGAAATTAGTTTCTTCTGAAGTAGTATTGAATTCTAATAATCCTAGCTTAGCAACTGCAGCATTAATGAGACTAACATTCTAGCATAAAGCAGTGACTACAAAGAGAATATGGAGGGCATCCCTCCCACGATTCCCCTCTTGCCCTCACCTCTTCGGGCTTCACCCGCTCAGCTGCCCCCTCCCTCAGAGCGTCTGCGCATGTGAGCACCGCCCCCAGCAGAGTATTCCCACCCTGGCACCAGATTTTTGTCCAAATAAATACCTTCTCAGTGAGGCCTCCACCGCTCCCCAACTTCTCTTTGTCCTCCTACTCTGCTTTACTTTCTTTAGTTTGTACTTATTCATGACCGGTTTCCCTTCTAAATATGATTTCCCACAAGAGGGCAGGAACTTGTTTTGTTCCCTGCTGCCTCCCTGGTGGTTAAAATAGTCCCTAACACTTAGTCACCACGATGAAAATGCTGAGTCTGAATCACGGCACACCTTGGTTGGGCTCACCTGAGATAAGAGCTCTTCAGATCTCTTCTTCTCTTTTTCAAGTTTTTCCCTAGTAAGATCGTTCTCTACCTTGAGCCTTTGTATTTTCTCTGCTTTAAGCCTATCATCTTCCAGATGTTGTACGCCTGCCTTTCTTTGTGAACACAACAGTTGATTTAAATCTTCAACTTCTTTTTGGGTTTCTTCATACTTTCTTCGAAATTCACTAAGTTCAAAATTCAATTGAGTTATGGTTTGTCGTTCAACCTCAAGATCTTTTTTTGCATCTGCCAACAGACAGTTGTAATATTTTTGCTTTTCTTCTTGAAGATAACCTATGACAAACATCAGGCACAACTCATTTTATGAAACAGATAATATTCCTGAGAAATTAAATATAAATATGTTTCTATTTTAAACAAGATCATATTATTCCCTCATCTTACATAATGAGGAGTCAAGAGATTGAGTAGGTATTTGACAGAAGAAAAAACAGAAGTTAGGGTATATTATTTGAAGTTAAAAAAACTAATAAATAGAAGAACTGAAAACAGTAATATAACTAGTCTATGGAGAGGGGACTCACTATGTCCGAAGAAGACAAACCAACAAATAGAGTTCACCATTTATAGATACAGAAATAATTACCAAAACCAAAAATAGAAATGTTAAAAGTAGCAGCACTGAAGGGAGGAGGAAATAGAGATTAGAATAGGATGGGAAAGGTAGGGCAGGGCCTTTCTGTGCTATTAACACACATACACAGAGAAAAGTGTATTGCCAAAGGAAAAAATGAGACTTAGCACATAACTAAAATCCTACTTTAATGTGTAATAAACTTATAAAAGCCTACAATAGTAAATTTGTCCCCTTTGGATAAGCAGCTTTGAATTATCTCTAGAGAATTTCCTTTAATATGTAAGCATTAGATTCATTTTAAACATTCAAATGTGAAGCTCCAAACTTTGAAGCCTTGATTGTCTTTCTTTAGCCTCTTTACACAATTCCAGGCTTCAGTCTGGTTAGGGCTGTTGGTCTTTTGACAAATGCTTTGCATGTGGGGTCTTCCTGTCTTCTCCTAGTTCGCTACCTGCACCTGCTGAACATACATCCCCTCTGTAAAGTAAGACTAATGACCCTGCCTGCCCCATCTCTTAGGGTTCTTTCAAAACTCAAAGTTAGGGAAGATGCAAAGCATTTGGCAGAAAGACTGTGTCATTCACAAGAAACTTCATCTCAACTCTAAGGTGAGATTCAGTCGCTGCAGAATCATCAGAACATGTAGTTTTTCTCCTGGGACTGAAATAAGCAAGTGACAGGGAATCCAAGTGAAAAGACAAGGCCGGCTCTTGGGGCAGAACTTTGAAGGTGGGGGAGGACACGATGGGCGGACAAGTTAATGTGCCTTCAGAGCTGCCAGAGATCCCTGTACCCTGTGTCTTAAGCTCGTTTTATTAGAAAACAATGGGACATCAAACAGACTTGCTAAGATGGTATTTCTTATTTCAGAGCTTAGAAGACTTGCTTATTTTACTTCTTACACACATTTTTAAGAAACTAAATTTGATGCATCTCCCCTTTTGGAAAATGTCAGGCAGCCCTATCTCAATAGAACATTTTTATACCAGCACCTTCTGACTCAGTCTTTTTTGTCTGCTGTGGGGGTGAATGAGCAGCTGTTTCTGATTTCTGTTCCAACTCAAAGATCTTTGCTAGAAGTCCTTTTACGTAGACCTCTCGCTGCTGGTCATACACAAGCCACTGCTGATTTTTCTCCAGAGCCTCAGAGTAAAAAGGAAAGCAAATGAATAATAAAATAAACAAAATCCTAAAAGGTACAAGGGAGCCCAAGTGATACTGTTTTTTTCCAGTACATAACCTCTTACGGTTCATATAATAGCATAATTCTCGACCACCACTGTATGGCTTGTGACACAGAAATACAATCTAATATCACATACCTTCAAAATACCTGACAACATGGTGAAGTCACATTTACATGGGGTAAGTTCATCTGTCCGCTGCCTTTTATACAAAACTTGCTTTGTGTCTGTGTCTCTATCATTCTCTGTAAACTAGAATGTCTCTGTGGCAGAAGCAGAGATGCGTTGCTCAGATACCCTTAAGAAAAAGCTGAACCTAAATAGGGCTCTGCTCACAAGCTCCCCTGGGGTGGGCAGAGGCTCTGCAAGGTCTGCATCCTGGTCTGCCAGTGACCCTGCCCAATCCTATTACTTTTGCTTTCACAGATGTTGCTCCCCATCGACTGCTTGCATTCTTACCTTCATTTCAGTGTCTGCTTCCCAGAGAATCAACCTTAAAATGCCCCTCTCTTTACCTCCAATTTTCATCTTTTACATGTTTTAGAACTCAATTAAAAATCCCCAACTGGGATCACTCACCTAGTTTGTATAAGGGCTTATAAACTCAGGTTAAGTATTCATTTATCAAATGGAGATACTGTATATCCACTCTGTATTATATGCTCAAATTTAGCTGCCAAGAGAGGTAGTGTTGCATGACTCAAAAGTATGCACATATTCAAATACTTATAAATCATACCTGTTAGATGCTAAAGATACCTAATTTTAAACCAAATTTTAATTGGCCCATATTTAAGAAACATTTTAATATAAATAACTTAAGTCAATTGTGGATGCTTATGCAAATCACCTTCTTTTAAACGAACCCATCCACACATTATGTTAAGTATGAGCACAGCTGCATAGGTTTAAGATTTCAGAGGCAATATTCTAACAGGCCACATGATGGTGATGTTACTCCAGTAAAGCAGTAAACATTTCTATATTCCAGACTTACCGACTCTACGCCATCTACTTTCTTCTCTTAATAGTACCACTAATAAATGGGTTTGATGGTGTAGTGACCAAGGGCAGGCAGCCCCAAGATGTGCCATTGTGACATGCATTATTTTGGGCTAAAAACCATCAAAACCCAAGAGATTCAGGAAGATACCTTGACCTCCCACCCCTTACAACTGTATAAAAAGAATTTAGATAGAGGAACTACTTCAGGAGAGCTATCACCATACTAGCAATAGTATAAAGTAAACTAGGGGTAGTAGACTGGGAGGGATGTGGCTGTTAAATTTTCTTTCTGTTAAAGACTGTTAAAATTTCTCTGTGCTCCACTGTTTCTGTATGGCCTATCGAGTATTTTGTTTACCAAACATTTACTGTTTTCATATATTCCTGTGAATTGCTTTCCTCTTCCTTTGCAGTCTCAGACCCTTACCCACTTCTCCTTGGTTCAGGATGACATACATATACCTCATTCTCCTTGTCTTTGGGATCAGTGTCTACGGCCTCCCCATATATACATAATTAAACTTAGGTTTTTTTTCCTTCTATTAATCTGTCTTATGTCAATGTGATCCTTCGACTAGCTACAAGAACCTTGAAAGGTAGAGAAAATTTCTTTCTCCTGAATAATAGTTATCAGTAAATGTTGATACCGTTTTGCATCTTTAGAATCATCATAGCATTCATTATCTCTTCCAGCTTTGTGTCCTCTACACATTTGTTAGACATGCATTTAACAGTTCCATCCAAATTATCAATAAAAAGTATGAAACAGTGGGCAAAAGTGAAGCCCTGTGGAGTGCTCCTAAAGCTCTTCCTTCCCTTCTAACCTGACAGGGGTCCATTAAATATTCCTTAGGCAAAAATTCCAGTGTAGATTTAAGCATTAGCCTATACTAGAGGAATAAAAAACATGGGTCAATTGACAAAACTGAAATAAGGATTACAGAGAAGTATAGTGTCCATGTTAAATTAATTAAAGTTGCTATCTACAGTAGTTATGTAAGAGAATCTCCTCATTCTTAGGAATATACATTGGAATATATATATATATATACACACACACAAAGTATAGATATGTGCTTATATATGTATTGGAGTGTGTGTGTATACACATATTTAAAGGATGGTGGATACATGCAGTACTTAAATGGTTCAGAAAAAAGTATGTCGTATGTGTATGGGTGGGTGCGGATTAAAAGGTGGGGGGTTGTAAAATGGGGCAAAATGTTAACAATGGTTAAACTTTGGTAGAGCACATGGGTGTTGTTCTATGTACCATTTTCATTCTGGTAACTTTTCTGTAAACTGGAATCATTTTTCCAAAGAAAAAATTTTTTTAATAATTATTATTCATATTCCCTAAATTTTATGTTTAAAAATCAGTTTTTTAAAATTAGAGCAAAACAATGCCTTTTAAATTGTCTTTTAAGCTCTTGGTTTGAAAGTCACTCACTGAACAATGTTTATAGTATTAACTCCCTGTGATTTTAAAATGTCAGCCAGACCTAAATGGTAGCTGAGGAATGATACAGGTAGGCCTTAAGAAAGGTAAACAGGTTTTTTTGGGTTAATTTTAGCATAACAAATACTGATTCTTAAAATAGGTGCACAAACTTCCACACTGAGTCTGGTGTGAGCTTGGAGGAGGAGTATGGATGGAAATACTGAGTTCTCAGAAGCCGAATAATATGGCAGTGTGTGGTCTGGGAGAGTGAGGTTGCTCTCTGGCTCCCTACTTCTCCACCTGGTCTAAAAGATCCACTGAGACTGCACGGGACAACCACAGCTAGATCATTATTTTTCCTCAAAGCCAAGTTAACGGTTCCTCAGACCAGCAGCAGAGGCTGGAGCTTGTTGGAAATGCAGAATTGTGGGCCCTACCCCAGAGATCCCTTAGACTCGTGTACATAAAGTATGAGAGGCATTGCTCAGTGTAGACCATTTAAAGGTAAGTTTACCAGAGTGGAGAAGCACAGTGCAATCCTTAAATAAGCTGGGAAAATAAAACAGAATAAAAAGACTGGGTATGAATATAAAACATTTCAAAGTTAATTCAAAAAAAGAACTATCATTATCTAAAAATAACTTCAGCTGGTATTTGAAGCAGTTAGCACTGAGAAGCCTAAAAATTACATAGAAGTTTAAGACAACAGAATATAGTTTCAGGTACTTTGCCAGAACAGACACAAGTAAAATTCAAGAAACTTCACAAGATTCTATTTGGTCATTCTTCCAAATGTTCCAAATGAAAATGGTACATTGAACAACACCCATGTGCTCTACCAAAGCAGTGAAGAAAACACACAAAAATCCTTCCCTCATAAAATCTATGTATTCTAATGGAAGAGTCATAAACAAGGTTAAGTAAATAAAATAGATTGTAAGTTTAATGGTAATATGTGATGTGATGAAAGGAAAATGAAAAAGGAGGGAAGGGGACTAGGAATTGTCTGGGATTTTTAATTTTAGACGAGCTGGCCAGGTAAACCTCTGGGTCCACCCTCCCCACCAAGGAAGTGTAACTGAGTAAAGACCTGAATGAGGTGAGGGAGTGAGTCATGAAGTTGCCAGGGGAACAGTGTTCCAGGCAGAGGCAACAGAAAGAGAAAAGGTGGTGTATGCAAGGAGTAGCTAGAAAGCCAGCATGGCTGGAATAAGTGAGGGGGAAGAGGAGGTGTGTAGCTAAGTCATTCATAGGTACGTGCAGCTAATGGGTAGGTGCTGACAAATGCAGAATGATAAGGGTCAGTGTAACATACGACACAACTTCTTTTAACAGCTCTTTAAAAATTACGTTTCTTTTTAATTTTGGTAACTCTGGATAAATTACTTTGATAAGGATACTATAGTACCCCAACAGACAGACACTCAACAGATTTAAATTCTTCTGTGGAAGATCAGTTAGACCTCAAGGTACACTTGCTAGATGAAATAAAAAATGAATCTTAAGAGTATGCTTAGATCATGGTAGACATGCCAGCAATATTTCTGGAATCAAAATACCTACCTATTATCTTAATAATTAAATCAAAAATTTTATACTTTGTATATCTGATATTAAAACTTGAAAAACACACTGTGAATAATAGTCCTATGTCCTCAATTTATTCAGTTCCCAATGAAATCCATCAATCCACTTAAGACATAAGTTTGAAATAATATAGCTTTTGCCATGAAATTCTAGAGGAAAGAAAATACTGAGTATAAAAAGAATGTGTTTCCTTTTCAAACTATAAAACCAAATCTTGGTTCCAAGGGAAAAATTTTAAAGTGAAGAGTATCTCTTTTACATGGATAGACAAAGAGAAGATATAATAAATTAAATTACATTATAATAATAAAGTAGTTGGGCAAATTAGATTTAGGTGGAGAAGAAATACTGAGGTATTAGTGGGATGTGAGATTTCTCTGGCTTTCTAGAAATTTCTATGGCTCTCTCTGAAAAACCGAGACCATGCTTAAAGGAACTGGCCCTTTTAAATGTCTAGAAAGAGACTTAAAGGTAGTAACCTAGAGAGATGATCCCAAACCATTCAATTCTCCATCTCCCCAACAGATTTTTTTTTTAACTTACAGCATCAGTGCTGTCAGTTTCCATGAAATTTAAGAATAAATGAATTAGTCCTCTTTAGCCATACTTAATAAAAGGGAAATGAACTTACATCTTTCAGCTGTATTTCCACTTCCTGAATATTATTCATTGATAAGTTAAAGCAGCTTGTAGCCACATTCTGTAAATAAACTAATATTAGTTAAGAAGAATAGAAGTTTCCTCATTATATTTAGTTCCATAATACAGTACACTTCACATGGGCATCCCAGAATCCAGATCTAATACATGCTGGTGAACTATCATGTCAGGTGATGGGGACCAGAGGAGAATTAAAATCTCCTGGAAGCTTCCTGAGATTTCACATCTAATTTGACTTCTGAGGTGTTGTGGACCCCAGGATCACCAGAATACCGCAGTATATATGAAAAACCCAGTGGTTTTCACAAAAGGAGACAGAACCAAAGTAAATGAAATATTAAATGGACTACTTAAATGAAATCAGGAAAATATTGAATTCTCAAATAAAAGATGAAGGTTGTTTTCTAGAATTATACTTGTATTAGTGATAATATTTATTAGCATTAGTTCATACAGCTTATATGGTATCCAAAACATAATTTCTCTTTTTTTCTTCATCTTTCTCATAGAAGAAAAAATAGAAAGTAGGTGGTCAGGTACCTAGGCTAGCCAAAAAAACTCAACTCATGAAAAGCTATTATTTCAGTCTTTTAACAGTTATAAGAAAAGAGATTTGTGTGAACACTGCCAAGGACACTCAAAGTACTTTTTTTCTCAAAAGGTGCTCTAGATACTTACCCTAGTGTAGCCCTTTCTCCCTCTCAATTTAGTCTTCTAGATGGAAACTAGGACAGAGAGAGTTCCCCAAACCCTTTTCCTTTTCCCCCTGGCCACACTGTGGACTACATTTCTCAGCCTCCCTGTCCTTAGTGAGGCTGCGGGACTGAATTCTGTCCAGTGGGATGTGGGCAGAAATGAAATATGCTGATACCAGGCCTGGTCCCAAACCTGCTTCCCCTCCTCCCAATCCCCCCAGATGCTCTCTAGCTGTCTAGAGAGGATCTGGAGGAGGGCCTACCCTAAGGGATGGGGGAAGGAACCTGGGTATCTGACTCTGGAGAGCAAAGCCTCCTCCATGCCAACCTGCACTAGATGATGACAGAAAGGAAAAAGAAGTATTTGTTGTATGAGACTCAGCTTTGGAGGTTGGTTGTTGTAGCAATTAGAACTGCTGATTAATACAGACAATAATAGTGGATAGCCACACAATTACTATATGAATACATTCTTTAAAAATTATCATTTTCACCAAGATTGGCATTTCCATCTTCAAAAGTAGTGAAACTAATTCTGAAGCTTTAAGGAAAAGTTTTAGTCAATCACTTTGAATCTGATTGTAATGCTTCATGATCCTGGAAATTCTCTAGAAAAACAAACTCTTTGAACTCATCTGTAGAAATACTAAACTGCCCATCTATGAGAGTACACATAAATGCAGTTCTGATCATCCTGACTACCCTAAAGGGAGATAAAGTACAAAGACCTTTAGCAACATTATCTCTCTCAGAGATTATATCTTACTATATATGCCAGGCACTTCACATATACTATCATATTTAATCTCCAGTATTCTTATCCTGATTTTACCAATGTAGAAACTGAGGCTTAGGAGATGTGAATTCTAGCATTGTGTCTAAGGTTAGATAGATTAAAGAATCTGTTCAGAGTTTGGCAGTTGGCAAGTGGAAGAACTAAGATCTGAATTCAGATCTGCCTACCTACAAATCCCTGTTCTTTCTTTTCTAAAACAAAAGGGGAGAAAAAAGCACATGTAGTCAGGAAAAGCATACTTGGTATTATAATTATGTTTCTTCCATATGAAAAATAGCCAAAAAATGAAGCCCGTTGTCATCATGATACAAACTACAGGAAAAAGAACCCAACAAATCTTTTTGGCTGTTGTAGATACACAGTGGATTCTACATTCTGAATATTCCTTTATCAAAACAATGGCACAGGAAGTGAAGGGAGCAATATTAACTATTTTGCTTATGAAGAGCATACTGGGCTATAAAAAAAAAAAGTAACCTATTAGTACAACTGACCCTTGAAAAACATGGAGGGTTAGGGGTGCCAACTCCCTGCAAGCTGAAAATCTACATTTAACTTTTGACTCCCCAAAAACCTAACTACAAATGGGCTACTGCTGACAGGAAGCCTTACTGATAACATAAATTACCACATATTTTGTACATTATACATATTACACTGTATTCTTACAATGAAGTAAGCTAGAGAAAATATCTTCTCAAATTGTAACAAATTTCCAAAATTTTCCAATGCATTTATTGAAAAATATCTGCACATAAGTGGACCCATGCAGTTCAAACCTGTGTTGTTTAAGTGTCAACTGTATACTATACTGCTTAATCATTTGACAAGCAGATTTTAATAAACTCATTCTTCATAAGAATTACAAATTGTATCAGAAAGAAAAAAAAGTCTGCATTTAAAGAAATTCTTAGTACCTGTGATAAATGAAGCGTACTCTCTTTGCTTTCAAGTTCAGCAAGTTTTGCAGTTGTAGCAGACAACTGCTTTTTCAACACATCTGTCTCTTCCGACAGGGATTTCAACAGCTGTTCCCTCCTTTCACCTTCCTTTGTCTTCTCTTCCAGCTGTTCAAACAACTCAGTAGTACAATGTTTGGCTCTCAGCTGGTCTCTGAGTAGCTGAATTTCTTTGTCCTTCTCTGTGAGGTGATGAACATACTTCTCCCTTTCAGCTTCAAACACTTGAATTTTCTAGATATAAACTAAGAAGAATCTTAGAACAAAGCCAGGTCAAACATGAAAGTAAACAATATACTACAATAAGCATTTATGAAGTGTTTATTGTATACCAAGTCAGCCTTATACTAGATACCAGGGCACAAAGAGAGAAGATGAAGCCATGGTCTTGTGCTTCGAGAGCTCACAGAGAAGTAAACCAACACATTAATGCAATACAGTAAGTGCTGTGGTTAAGACATATAAAATGAATGGGAGATGGACACAGAAGGGAGAAACCAATTCTGTCAAGAGTGGTGAGAGAAAGCTAGAGAAAACCGACCATCACATGAGTATCTAATAATCATCCCTCCTCCATCATACCAGTCCTAATAATCTTATAGGCTAAAAGGAAGTCACAAGACAGATATGCTCACTGATGAACTTGAAGCAGTAGAACTTACAAATTACAGAATGTTACAGCTGGGTAAAAACACAGTTATTTTTGTTAATAAATGGTTTGGTATCAAATTTAGGTGATCTTCAAAGGAGTATTCAACATTCTCAAGGATTTGAAAGATAGAGAAGGCACGCTTATTAAACTGCTGCTGGCATAAGGGAGAAAGCACCGATAGAGAGATGATGGAAAAAGTTAACAGGATGACTTTCCATGCTAAGGTAAAAAACAACATAAAACTAAAAACTTGTATTTTGTTGCCGGGGGAGGGAGAACCAGTTGCTCAAATATAAAAAAGGGAAATTGAGTTGGATGTTTGTGTGAAAATGATGAGGGGATTTTAGTGGGCTACAGGCTGAAGATAAGGCAGCAGTATGATATGGTTACAAAAAAAAAAGCCCATACAATTTTAGGCCTCCACAGGGCACAGCAATCAGTGAAAATCACACTAGCATTTCAACCTCTGTTTGCCACTGTGTAGAATAATGGGTGCATTATTCTGGAGAGATAGGGATATACCACAAAGTGTTCAGGAAAGTGACCAGGGATAAGAAGCCAGAATAGCTGACGAAAATGGGGTTTGGTTTACAGAAAAGTAAGAGGAAGCACAATTTTCTCAAATCTGAGAAGCTGTCAATTGGATAAAAGAGATTTGTTCTGTGTAGCTTTAATGGGCAAAATTAGAACAAATGAGTACAAGTTACCATAAATTTATTTCAACTGATCTTAAAGGAACAGAGTTGTAATAACCATTGCTCTCCAGAAGTGTAATGAACTGGAACGAGATCTCTCATGGTAAGCTATTAGGTTCCTTTACCAGATTTTGAAATAATCTTTATGTCTAAGAATTGGTGATAGACCATTTCTCAGTACTTAGTAAGTATTTACCTCAATTTGTGTTGTTAAAAAAATAATAAATCATTCAGTTTTATGATTACCTATAAAACAGAATTTAAAGGAACCTAATGATACTATTTAATATAGGTCATTCATTTTGTAGGTATGAATCATAAAAGTACTTTTGCAAGATAAATTAAAATCAAACTAATGAGTAAATTTTTTATTTCTTCCAGTTCTAACAAATTACTAACTGCTTTGCCAACCATACCATAATAGATTGCAAATTAGGAAATGTGATAGTTGAAGAATGCAAAATGCCAATATATGTAATGATTTTACCTCATAAACTCTGAAAACAAAGATTACTTGGAAAGCAGTCAATATATATGATAAAAATGAGTGTTTTTAACATTCATATTAAAATCTGAATTCCACTTAACACTTTGAAATGATTAGATTTGATTTTTACCTTTAGTGAACCAACAGAAAAACTAGATTATATAACTATTAGGAAAATACTTTCTCATTTCCTACAGTAAAGCTTATTACAATTTGAAGGATTTATAAAGCCATTTACCTCCAGAAGTCTGTGTCTGTCTTTATCAGTCAGATTTCCTTTTCTGCTTGTGATTTCATCCACCGATGTTTTTAAGGCTGTACTTTCTCCCCTAAATTTTTCTAGTGCAATTTCTGATTTGGAGTTACTAGGCTTTAGTCCCCATTTATTTTTAATTAACTCTTTAGGATTTTTGCAAGACATCTCTGTAATTGTCTATAAAAATAAAAATACAATTAGAAGCCTGAGTTTAAAAGGCCAAATCTCAGTTTTACAAAGATCTAATAACCTATTTCTTAAGTAGAAGAATTTTCTATCTAAGTAGAAATGATATAGCGATGGGAGAGGGACTGTGCAAGGCTTCTGGCTTGCTGATAACAATATATGTATTTTAATCTCAGTGGTAGTTCCATGGAAAATATTCACCTTTTAAAAATGTCAACTTGTACACTTATTTTTCTACAGGATTCTGTATGTGAGTCATCCCTCAATAGGAAAATTTCATTTTAAAAAAATGGAGGGGTACCCAATGATTAAACTATTAAATAAAGGCTGAAAGAAGTAGATGACAATCAAAGACATATTTTACCCAAGAATAAATTTCAAAAACCAGTGGTAAATAATACAATTCTGAGTATATAGACACTGAATTGTTGCTCTCTGACATAATGATATGTCTTGATTTATAAGACAGGCTTAGTTCAGATCTTAATAGCTGAGAAAGTGCAGCAGACAGATGTGAAGATCATCCAAGATGAGTTTATAGGAAAAAGAAGGAAAATAGTCAAGGAATTCAGGAATGACAGGGATTAAGAAAAGGGTCAAATTGAGTAGGGAGAAGCTTAGTATCAGCTAACAGTGTTAAATGATAGTTTAGAAGTATATAATATAAACTCTAGGAGCAAAATATATAGTGAAACATACTGTGCATATATAAAAGTAGCCCTAAGTAATTAGGAAGGTTAAAAAGCATTTTCCCATCTCTTAGATCCCCAGATAAAATAACAGTGGTATGACTAAGGAATCCAAAGGAATATGAGACCGTTCATGTATTCAAAAAATATCGGTGAGCCTAATTTACCAGGCAGCATGATAGGTGCTAGGAATAAATTGGAGATTTAGATAAGGTAGTACGGGAAGGCCTCTTTGTGGAAGTGACTTTTAGAGTGATTCATATTGGAATCAGAGCTTGAATATACTAGAACTGGGTACACCGAGTTGAAGAGACTACCAAAAAGTTAGCCCTGGATTTTTTTTTCATTTTGGTATCATTAATCTACAATTACATGAGGAACATTATGTTTACTAGACTCCCCCCTTCACCAAGTCCCTCCCACAAACCTCATTACAGTCACTGTCCATCAGCGTAGTAAGATTAGGCCCTGGATTTTTGCCCACTTTAAGGTGAAAGACTAAGATAACTAGTAAATCAATTGAGGCGAATACAAGGTTACAGTGTCTCAAGAACCTGCTACCACAGCGAGTTCTTTCCTGTGTGCTTCTGTTAATATAACACTGTTGACCTGTTATAATGGGTTGACAGAACAGAAAACTACCTTTCATCCATGTTGCTGAAACACAGAATGGTGGAACTACACAGATCAGTATAACTGGAGCCAAGACCCAACCTTTGCACAGAACTCCTGCAGTGAGTGACTATTGTTTCTAGCTTCTGGCCTAGACTGCTAGGATTTCCCAGCTCTCAACCATTTAGTCCTGCCAACCTCCTTCCCCTGTACTTTTTTCTATTCCACTCAGGCCCATATTCAAGGGTTCCCACTGTTCCAACGTTGCCTGGCCCAGTTGCACCTTCTTCAAGAAGCCTCCCCTCTGTGAACTCTAGTAAGTGATGGAGTCCACAGGACATGATATGGTACTCAACTGTTACCTCCCCACCCCACCGGCTCTTTTTATTTATTCATCAGTTGTTTCAGGGGCTTGAATTATTTTTGTCACCCAGAGTCCAACAGCAGTTGCTGAAAAAATACTTATTGGTTGGCTGAACTACGCCATGCTGGGCAGATGACCAAGGAAACGATGCTACCCAGCCAACCGCGCAAGGCACCTGTTACAGGACACGCTGTCTACAAGTGGAGGCAAATCTTACAAAATCCGTCACATAAGACCTCACATGCGGAGACAGGCAAAGAAAAACTGCGAAAGGGGACATTTTTTTCTCACCTCTAAAATGAAGACGTTTGTAGACTAGACATCAAAGTGCTTGCTGATCGGCAAAATGCAGTACGAACGTTAGACCTCGGCCCAGACCCTTGGCCTCTGCGCCTGTCTGAAAGGGGATGATAATACCCACCGCGAAGCTGAAAGGAAGGATCGAAACGACTTCGTGATGCGCTCAGCCGGGTCCGCGGCACGACGCGGGCGCCTGGGAAAGGGGGCAGACTGAGCCCGCGCGGACGCGACCTCTCCCTCCCCGCCGACCCTGCCTCCGTCGCTGTTCCGCTCGATCCCTGGGCTGCGGGCCCTGGCCACCCTCCGAGGCCGGCCGCCCGCAGCCACCCAGCGGCTGAGGCGAAGCGCGGCGCTCGCTTCCACCCGGTCACACCCTCGGCGCAGACGCCGCTTCCGGGAGTTTGAATCCCGCGGCTGTGGGGCGGGGCACGTCACTGCCGGCAAGGGCGTGGCTCTCCGATTGGCTGAAGCCCCTGAGGGGCGGAGCCCAGAGTCCGGGATGCAGACTAAGCCCGGCAGGGAGGCGAGGCGGAGCCAGGCAGGGACTGAGTTGGTGGGTTGAGATTGGGGCCGGGGAGCTGAACGACTTCACCTGGGTCCGCCACCCTGTTCTGGGGCTGCCTCTGGGTTTTTCTGAGGTCCCAGACTTTGATCTCGGTGTTTCTTTGTATGAGCTAATTTATGTTTATCCCCTTTGAGGATGAAGCAAAGCTCAGTGAGATAAACCTGGTGACTGAACTAGGGCTAGCTGGTTCTAGGTCCTTGAGCATAATTCACCAATCTAAGTACCAGTTTTATCCGTATAAAACGAGAGAGCCGAATTCCTTAAGGGAAGACAACCTCCTTGTCTTCCCGGTGGGCTGAGCTTCTATCCTGCCCAAAAATCAGAGGTGGAGCAATTGGACGTATCAGGCGGCAGAAGTGGGCACGTCCAGAGCGAACACTGAGATTCTTCATCCTAGAGGCTACGTAGACTTTTGCTCCAGATTGCTTCCCTCCGGCGTGATACCTATTGGTTAAGTCTGGGTCATGGTTAGCCACCTTGAAGACTTCATTACTAAAACAAAGATGCACAGAAAGTGTTTGCTAGGACTTACCTTTTCTGTCTTAGAACAGGCATGATCATCAGAGACTTAAAACAGTAGGTAAAGGGATATAGTCGCAAAACATTTTCCTGGGAAACTGGTGCTGCATGGCTTTAAACTCTAGATTAGGACTGAGTGTAGTTCCTGACTGCCTCTTACTTGTGTGATCTTGAGTAAGTTATTTAACCTCTCTGAGCCTCAGTTTCTTGGTCTGTAAAATGATGCAGATAATAATACCTCATAGGGTGGCTATGAGGATTAAATGAGAGAATGCATGTTAAGTGCTAAGCATTTAGTAGACAATTGATGTTAGGCGTTATTTCACAAAAAAGCAACAAATGCCTATGTTACTAAATAGAATGGGTGAAAACCATGTAGAAATTTTTAAAGAATTTTAGAGCACCAGTTCTTAGCCCTTGGTTCAGTCCACAATTCCATGTTGAGTTCCCTTTGCCAGGTCCAGTACACAGTCCCTATTTATCCCTCACTGTTTTAACCCCTTCCCTATACCCAGTCTGCAGCCTCTAGGAAGGAGTCGGCTGGTTTAGCCCATTTTGGGAATTGGTAGTGGTGTACACAGGCCTTCTCTCAGCCATCCCGCAGTAAAGCTTAAACCCCAACCCTTGATTTTTCCCTTGGATTCCATGTTGGAACTGCTGACAGTCTGGTCTTTGGAATCCCATTTCTTTGGAATCCTTCCCCAGATTCTATATAATTAACTGTTGGTGGCAGCAACAGTTCTCCATTTGTCTGGAATCAGTCCACAATCTGCATTCTTTTGGGACTGGTGCTGGTTCAGTCCTGTCCCTAGTTTGTTGGTTACTGCTGGTGTTCGCAGTTCCAATAACTCAATTACTGCTGGTTTCTGTTAATGTGCATATGCAGTAAAAGTTACTGCTGAGTGGTATCTCAGAAGCCCAAAAGTTTTGTGAGATGACTGGTTTGTCTCTGAGTTAACCAAAAGGCCTCCCTAGCTAAAATAAATGGAGTCCTTTACATAGAAATAGTTGAACATGCTATCTTTTGGCACACCTGTTTATTTTATGTATCAGAACTATAGTTCCAGGAATTGCAGATATCTAGCATGATGGCAAAATCTACTAAATATAGCTTAGAATTACAATGGCCATTATGGGGAATGTTCCAATTATGTAAGTTCATTTAAAAAGTACACTTGAAAGCAAAGGTTCCCAAATTAAACACACATAATGGGATAACATATTTTAATTGGCATGCAGAAGCCTCCAAAAGGTTTCAAAATTCCGTTATAGTTTCACTGAAAGATTCATTGCAAAGGCTAGGGAAGAATCAAAGAGGTAAAATGTACCTAAAATGAAACACTAAGACTGACATATAGGAGTGATGTAACTTCAGCTTCTCTCTCTCCATTTGAGTACTCATTCTAGTTTTGTCCCGTCTGCCTTGTTGTTTATAGAGACTGTTGAACAGTTACCTTATAAGATAAAGACCACCTGAGGTATAGGTGATCCTTTTCAGATACCTGTGCACTTCTTGGTCAAAAGCTGAACTAAGGGCCATAGTTAAAATTTTGTTTTAAACCCAGGGAGGATCCTCAAAAGTTTTTGGAAATAGATTACCTCCTGAGAAAAGTTGAGAGAGAGAGAAATAAAATTTCATGCTGCCCCTTCCTTTGCAAG